GAATGATTAACTTTCTTACTTCCCCCTTGAAGTGAGAACATAGCTTCTTTGGCTTATTCAGAGGCAAAATATGGAACATGAGTAAACAGGGCCCAGTAGAAAAACAGCAGAGGTAGAGGTTTTCTTTTTCTTTTTTGTAAAATGTTTATTTATTTATTTTGAGAGAGAGAGAGAGAGCACAAGGAAAGGAGGACAGAGAGAGGCATTGAGAGAGTATCTCAAGCAGGCTGTACACCATCAGCACAGAGCCGGATGCTGGGCTCCATCTCAGGAACCGTGAGCTCATGACCTGAGCTGAAACCAAGAGTCAGATGCTTAACCGGATGCTTAACCGAATGAGCCACCCAGGTGCCCAGAGATGGAGCTTTTATGAAATGGAGCCCTTTCAGCTTTAGTACCTCACTAGGACAGGGAATGCAAAGGAAAATAACCATGGCCCATTCCTTTGAGGAATTCAGTGTAGCTGGAGAAAAACATCAGCCATTTGAGTTCACTGGGGGGCAGGGTTAGCTCTTCTCTCTTACAGGTGATTCTTCTCCAGTCCTGATTAGAGTAGACTCAATTTCTTTATTCTGTTTAGTCTTTCAGGCCGTTCTCTATGAGGAAAATTTTCTCTGTTTCCTTTGATTCCCAGTTACCTTTCCTTCATTATATTCTCTTGATGCTATTTATATTCTTACGTTCTTTTTCTAAAGAAAACCTTAATTTAAAAAATCCATTTCAGGTTACTTCAGAAACTGAGTCACTGAATGATCACTTGCTTTCCTACTGCATAAATATTTTAAGACTCCTACAGTGTGTATGGAATTGAATCATGGCTTTGTGTATACCAGCAGGTCACCTAGTCTCACTAACAATAAACAGCACTGTGTACACAGGATTTTAAAAGAATCAAAGCAGGCCCTGGGCTTTAGTAAGCCTTGGTCCTCCAAGGGCAGTTTCAGTAAAATATCAAAACTGTTGTTATGACTCATAGCTATCATAAAAAGTGTTTTCTGTGACAAAAGTGAAAAAATACTTTATTCAGTTATTGAGTACATACCACAGTAGTCCCCTCTTATTTTTGGGGGATATTTTCCAGAACACTTCCTTCCCTATGGATGCCTGAAACCCCAAATAGTACCAAACCCCCAATATATACTATGTTTTTTCCTAGACTTATATACCTATGATAAGGTTTAGTTTATAATTAGGCACAATAAAAAATTAATTAACAGTAACTAATAATGACACCACTGTACATGCAAAAGAAATATTAGTAAATGTGACTCATATAAAAAAACAAAATATAAAAATAATCTATAATATGATTTTGATTTGACTATCTGAAGGAGATTTGAATATAGAGACAATAATAGGAATTTAAAAAAACTGTATCTGAATGAAACATATCTACCATATTGATATGAAAAAGTTAGTGGACAAAATCTAACTTGTAGTAATGAAAAACCAACTACATTTTAACTCTTAGAGAATTATAACTAAAGCAGTGTTTGAAAGGTTTAATGCTCCAGAAATACTGCCTGGAGCTTGTGATGTTGTATCTACCCTTGAAAGTAGTGACACAGATGGACTTTGGACTGATGGAGAAAAGGTGACATTCTAAATGGAAGGTAATATTCATTCTTTTATGAAAATATATTTATTTTTTTGCTATTTGGTTCCACATGAGATCCATGGGTTAACACACACACATATAAACATGCACACACACACACACATTCTTTCTTCTCTCTCTCTCTTTAAACTTTATTCTCTAGGTTATTTCTTGTGCATAGCAAGTCAGACGAAACATAAATTTGATGATATATCTAGTCTACTTGAAATCTTCCTCCAAAACATACAAAACAGAGTTATGTGGACGTTAATGAGGACACGATGAGGGATTGGCACAGAGGCTGTGTCTTCATTTGACAGGCTTATGTAAGAAATTATTAACAGACAACGTTAAGTGCAGAAACAAGGACCAGGAACTAAGTCAGTGCCAGACTGAAGAGCTTATGTTGCAAAGGTATTAGGGTGAGGAGGCACTAAACTTCTTTGAGTGGCCTAATTGTATGTTTTAAAAAGATTCAATTCACCATCCATTCATTGACCACCTACTGTGTGTTTTTGGTACATATCTGTCCCTTGATGACAATGATCTGAAAACAATGAGTCAGCTCTTAAGTCAGCTCTTAAGGAGCCCACTGGCCATTCCGGTGATCTTGGCAGCTGTGTGCATGTTACACTAGAGTAAGAAGAAATTAGAGCATGTTATATAATTAGGAGACAGGGCCCAGAATTCAAGTGTAGAATGATAAAATCTCAGTCTACAGGGGTGACTGAGAGATGGAAAAGACAAATCAGATATTATAAACATTATATGCCAAAAAGTACACATACCTGGTGGTAAAATAAAGAAGTCATAAGAAATAACCATTTAAGCAGCTTCTTTTTTCATTATTAATAAATAATGATATAATTATCATTTTATATTTAATAAGTACCTATAATGACACTATTTTATAATGTATAATTATAATTTTATAATTATATAATTATTAACTATATAATTGATTATATATAATTATATATATAATTAATAAAGTGTTAACTTAATCACTTATTCATTTATTTAAGTCATTTAAAACCTAATTTTAAAGACTTTCCAAGTGCCAGTTACTCACAGGATCTACTTTCACTAGTCATCCAGCACAAATAAATTTATTTAGTATTATGACCTTTTGAATTTGTCAAATTAGTAGCATTAATTTTATAGTGAGAGAAAAAGACAAAACTGACTAAAAGGATATATAGTATTTTGTGATGGCTTTTACTATACTTTTTATTCCAACTAAAATAAGAAAGTAGTCTCATTTATTCAATTTTTTCTCATATCACTTAAAAAATTATTATTTGGAATGTTAATTTTCCACACTTATTGTAAGGTTGGGGGTAGTTTTTGAAAAGACTTAATTTCATTCTACTTTCTAAAGTCATTTGAAAATAAAAGAAGAAAAAGAAACATTTTACATTTTATGAAAATTTTCTGTCATTTGATATTTTATATGTAATTCTAAGATAAATATTTAAATTTTGACCTGCCCTGTGAAAAGATACTTTTATTTTCACAAAAGCTAAAGTTTACATTATTTTAAGGTATGGCAATATTTACAATTTAATTTCTGATTTTACATATGAAAACATTTAATAATATTTACTGTATCAGGGAAGAACTTCTGCTTACAGACATGAAAGAGTAACAGAGTCCAGACTGCCTTTTGCTGTAAACAAGTAAAAAATTTGACATAATATATGAAATAACTGTGTTCAGACATTGGAAAACAGTGCATGACCTTAATTCCAGGGAAGTGAAGGCAAACAAAGTGAACCCTAAAATCACTCAGGCTTTATGCCTGGAGGCAATTCCCTGATTGTTGTTCAATGAAAGAGAATACAGAGCTTGGAGATCATGCTAATTTAAGACAGAACTCAAGGTTTAGGAAGGCCAAGGCACTGAGCATTTGTAGTACAGTGTAAGAGAGAGGAGATCTATTCAGAAAGAGTCCCAGAGGTTGGCATACATGTTCCCTTTAGTATTTGGTGAAACACCTATCTGCCATGAGTATGGGAGAATTCAAAAAGTCCAGGTAGAAAATCAGTACTGGGGAGCTGGAATCCCTGAACTTAGGAATTGTCTCATTTTCTAGAAACCAGAATGGAGATACCATATTAAATACACAAAGAATTAAGTAGAAACCCCAAGTGGTCACACCTTAATATGAGGCTTAATTATTCTTCGAGCAGACAATCTTCTAGACTTATCCTAAAAGATTAAAAACAAGGCTCAAACTGAGCCACAGGTAGTTTAACTGCCTGCCAGAATAAAGACCAATAATTCTTCAAGGAAAAAGATCCAGCACTCTACCTTATGTACACAGTGTCCAATATCTGATCAAAATATTCATATCTAGCCACATCAATGATTATGCTAAATGTAAATGTATGAAACACTTCAATAAAAGGCAGAAGTTCTCAGACTGGAGATGAAAGCAAGATCTAATTATGTGGTGTTTACAAGAAACTCACTTTGAATGCAGTGTGTTTTGACATTTTTTTTGTATTATGTCAAGTGAAATTTGCTGACCAAACAAATAGAAAATGGGAGAAAATTTAAACTACCCCAATAATAAATGATTCTTTGTAATTTGGGGCTAAAAATAACTTTTCTTCCAACAATTTATGTGTTCTTTTAAATTCAACAGAGCAAGTCACAAGCCCAATAACAGGGTTGACTTTCTTAGCCATCATTCTGTTTTATGTATATAAAGTTGCTCAGATTTTCATAATTACAAAATTGATAATTCCTCAGATTTTATGAACAAATAAGGTTTTATTACATAAGAACTTTTGTGGCTAAACACTCAGAGAAGAAAAATTTATTTTTATTTTTTTTGAGAACAAATTATAAAAATGAATATAAATAATTTAGCTGTTTCATATTGGTAACACTAAAAAAGTTAATGTCATCAATTCCCTTTATGAACAAGATTATTTTTGAAAAGTCCCCAAACCCAGCATGGAATGAACTGAAATTCACATCTGAATTCTAAGATCATCCGGGGTATTAGAATGCTTATACTTAAGGTTGCTTGGCATATAGGATATTTTGAAGAGTTAGTCCTTTTTTTATTTAAAAAATTAATTTTAATGTTTTATTTATTTCTGAGAAAGAGAGAGACAGCGTGAGCAGGGGAGGGCCAGAGAGAGAGGGAGACACAGAATCTAAAATAGGCTCCAGGCTCTGAGCTGGCTGTCAGCACAGAGCCTGACGTGGGGCTTGAACCCGCGAACCACGAGATCATGACCTGAGCCGAAGTCGGACACTTAGCCGACTGAGCCACCGAGGCGCCCCAGTCTTTTTTTAATTGTAGTATGAAAATAAGTCCTTATAAATGAAATAGAAGACTTTCTGGAGAGACCATCTTTAAGGGGTATGAATTATCTCTGTGTTACAGGTCATACGGAAAGGAGAAGTAAGTTGCTGCTGGATTTGCACAGCCTGCAAAGAGAATGAATACGTGCAAGATGAATTCACCTGCAAAGCCTGTGACTTGGGGTGGTGGCCCAGTGCAGATCTAACAGGTAGGAGCTGCCTCACGTTGGATCTTGTTCCTGATTACAAGCTTTCCTAATGTGCCCATTTTTAAAACATGACCATGTAGCTAATCCCTTTTTCAATGTTTATTTACAGTGTGCACTTAAAAGTTTTTTTAATGTTTATTTTTGAGAGAGAGAGAGACAGAGCATGAGCTGTGGAGGGGCAGAGAGAGAGGGAGACACAAAACCGAAACAGGCTCTAGACTCTGAGCTGTCAGCACAGAGCCCGATGCAGGGCTTGAACCCATGAAATGCAAGATCATGACCTTAGCCAAAGTCAGACACTTAACTGACTGAGCCACCCAGGGCCCACTACAGTGTGTACTTTTTAATGCTCATGTCAAAGAGCACACAGAAACCTCTTAAAAGCTTTCCAAGATTTATATTGAAAGGCAAGTTCATCTAAATATAAATTAAAGTGTATTAAAGGAACATTCTGGCATACCAGCTATTTTCTGTTTTTGTTTTTAAAAATGTTTTAAATATATTGCTAGTCACCTACATGTATATTAGCAAATGTTTCTTGACCATCTATGTGTGAGGCAGTATTATTTTTGCTTTAAGTTTATCTTGCTTTATTACTTTATTTTGCTTAAAACTTATCAGAGAAGAAACATGTAAAAAATAATTAAAATTGTTTTAATGTAGTAGACATATTAATAAAATACATAAAACTTGTGAGGCAGATAAGAAGATGAAAGAAATTTCAGAGAAAAATTAGAAGATGGGAAAAATAAAGGCATATAACACATTTGGGGAAAACCACAAGTTTATGGGGTTGGTTGATAGACATAGGGACCTAGCAGAGGCCAGAAGTTAGACTGAATGAGCATGCTGGTGGTGGGTGGTAACAATCTTCTGCATGACCTTTTCTTAAGGGTTTGGACTGTGGCATTAAGCACAGGAAAATCACTGAAGGATTTAAAGTAGCAAATAGCAGGCGCTTCTGGGTGGCTCAGTTGGTTAAGCGTTAGACTTTGGCTCAGGTCATGATTTTATGGTTGGTGAGTTGAAGCCTTGCACTGAGCTCTGTGCTGACAGTTGTAGCCTGGAGCCTGCATCAGATCTCTGTTTTCCTTTCTCTCCACTCCCCTCCCGTTCATGCTCTGTCTCTCAAAAATAAAAAAAAATGCTAAAAGTTTTTAAAATAAAGTAGCAAATAATATCATGATATCTGTGTCCCAGAAAGATGCTCCTAGTGGTAGTATAAGGAGTGCAATGATATATGGTGAAAAACAGAAACTAAGAAGCTATTGGTCTCAGTGAGTAATTTCAAAGGATGTGGACTAGGGTGGCTGCAGCAAGAATGGAGAGGAATATATGAATGCAAGAGATGATTTACTAGTAAAATCAATGGGAATCAGATGGATGGATTAAATGAATTTGTAAGTTTCATAAGAGCAATGTTCAAATATACAAGTTTATTTTTTCCTGTGGACCCTCGTACGAACTCACACATAAGAGGTGTTTCACAAATACCTTTCAGAAATTTTAGGAGTAATAGAGCCATAGCAGCTGCCATCTGAGTACATAGAGATTTTTGTCATCTGAGAAATCTCATCCCTCCTTTTAGAAAGGGGAAGCTGAGGCCCAGAGAGGTGTACTTGTATGCCCAAGGTCATGCAACTAGTTAGAAGCAGAGCCCAGTTCCCTGACTCTTGATCTTCTGCCTCCCTGGGTGTTGTTGAAAATCATTAGGGATTGTTTTTTGTTTGGTTTGGTTTGGTTTGTTGTTGTTTTTTTTTTTTTATCTGTTCCCAAATAAGAATGGCAACTAAAAAATTAATGGCTTACTCAAAACACACCAAAAATGGCTGGGTAAATGGAACCAGGTCACATAATGAAAATTTTACTTATTTAGTAAAAGTACCTTGTAAAATATTAATCTTGTTAGAAAAGTTAAACTAAAATGAGTGTCAGAAAGCCTTTAGAAATTATTTAGTACAAAGACCTTCTAAGAAAGGAAACCATACTAGAATGTATTAGGAAGTACAAACTGTATCTCACTCACATTTCTATTCTGTAGCTGAAAATTGGTTTTCAACTTAATATGCCTAAAAATTCCCCAGGAATTACCCACCTGCAGAGAATCCCATTCACTAGTTCTGACATGAAACCCAGCAGATTCTGAGGCATCTGGTTCCTGTCCCATCCCTTTAGAAACATTACTCTCTGGCTCATAGTCTAGTGTCTTGAACATCATAGCTGCCTCATAAATGTTCTATTGAGAGAAATAGGAAGAAGAAGGGACTCACCTAAGTTCATCCTGGTCAGTGTGTTTGGTTAATAGAGAAGCCACTATGAGAATCCAGTGTTTTTATCCCTGCATCTAACTTATCTCATGGCTGCATTCAATGGAATGGTTTGGAAAAGCTTTTCCAATCACTTTTAGACAAGTAGGCTTCTCTCCCACTCGTGCTGTGCCTCTGTTCACATCTTTATCCTCCTTCATATAGTATGTGCTTCATGCTGGGCCTTTTTATCTCAAGTCAGCCCTCTGCTATTTGACTGAGACTGCAGCTGACTAGGAAGAGGCTTGGAGACAAAGCTAACCTTTCTCAGGTTCATCTCAGAAGTCAGAAGTCCTGGCTTTGAGGTATAAGAATTTTTCTCTTATCTACATTTTCTTGGGCTTCCACCAACTTTTCCTATTGCTCCATTTTCCCTTTGGGCTTATCTTATACATGATAAAGAATCTCTATCTTATTTTAAAACATTAAAATACAAAGAAACTTTTAAAGAAAATCTAATATGTTATCACAATGGAACTCAAAATCATATGTTTTATTCTCTAGAGATCTTTCATTGTGGGTATATTTTTGACCCACCACCAAATGATCATCACCATTGAATTAAGGCTCTTTGAGCTAGTAGTGCATAAAAAAGTATCCTCCTTGACTATACATAGATATTTAATGTGATTATCTTTCTAAAATAGTCTATCATCCATCCTATGTGTAAAGGTCACTTTAGTTGAGCCAAGTAACAAATCAGGCGGCCCTTTTCTCATAGCAACAGATTCGATTATTTTACAAATATATATAATATATGCAAACATATATCTTACATGTAGGGTCTTTTGGAATACAGCTTAATATTAATTTATACATAGTTTTAATGACACCTGTTATTTCTGGATTCATTTCAGCCTTACACATGAATGGAAAATGAGGTCTTATTTGCTACTTATTTGGTGGCATGTCAGGCTCAGAGCAAGGGTGCAATACATGGCAATGTGTTATTGGTTGTTGCCATGGAAACAGTTGTGAAAAAAGAAAACTCACAGACAGAGAATGCCAAAATTCAGTAGAAATACTCAGAGGAGTAAATGCATTGCCTTTAAGTAGGTGTTTTGCTTTTCACAGGAGGATTTTTTTTTTTACTGAATTTTAGTTAACATGAGAAATCATTCTTCTTTAGGAAATGATGTTTTTACTGAAGGTAGAGTTTGTTTATATGCATAAAATCATTTCATGAGATAGCTAGTCTCCATATATGCTACAAAAACTTTAATATTATTGAATGAAAACATGTTTATAACTGAGTTTTTGTTTTTCATTAAAGTATGTTGTTTGCTGGCTATTAAAAATGGTGTATTTGTTAAAGGAAGCACTTTATGAAGCTGTTAATAAGCTTTTCATATTTTCTTCTTGGGAAAACGCACATTTTAATTCAGCATTTAAATTTCAGACGCATAAACAGGGATCTCTTCTGACACAATATAAAACTTGACAGTAGTTTAACAATTTGCAAACCAATTATATGTAATCTGATGCTACTTATTTCTTTTATTTATTTTTTTACAAATAGTTTATTGTCAAATTGGTTTCCATATAACACCCAGTGCTCATCCCCACAAGTGCCCTCCTCCATGTCCATCTCCCCCTTCTCCCCCACATCCATCAGTCCTCAGTTTGTTTCTCAGCATTCAAGAGTCTCTCATGGTTTGCCTCTCTCCCTTTCCCCCACCACTTCCCCCTTTCTTCTCCCCCATGGTCCTCAGTTAAGTTCCTCCCGATTCTCCTATACGTGCAAACATGTGATATTTGTCCTTCTCTGCCTGACTTATTTCGCTCAGCATAACACCCTCAAGGTCCATCCATGTTGCTACACATGGATAGATTTCATTGTTTCTCATTGCCATGTAGTATTCCATGGTATAGATAAACCACATCTTCTGGATCCATTCGTCCGTTGATGGACACTTAGGCTCTTTCCATGTTTTGGCTATTGTGGAGAGTGCTGCTATGAACATTGGGGTACAT